AATTGTATCACCATCTCCTCTATATGAATTATAAAACATACAAGATATGGTGTGTCATGTTTTATAATTCATTCATTCATACAAGGTATGGTGTTTGATGTTTTATAATTCATATAGAGGATATGGTGATATAATTTCGACCGTGGTACGATGTATTTTTGAATCTAATTTTCGAGATTTGGTAAATTTGGTATTCTCATTGTGTGGGGAAAGTACTAAATTCCACGCAACAAAATTATTTACCAAATTTGAATCTCTAAAATTAGATTCAAATTTTATGTCGTATAGAATTGCACTATGTTTGTGATTGTAGCATCTTACCCTAGTTTCTTAGATGTTACGAAAAATATAAACATCTTAAATAAAATATTATATTCAATATTACATACAAGGTACTGGTGTGTCATGTTTTATAAATCATATAGAGGATATGGTGATACAATTTCGACCGTGGTACGACATATTTTTGAATCTACGCGCGCGCACATAAAAGTTGATAATACTTCAATATTTACAAAATGAAACATACTTACACAATGCATATGTTGCAAGAAATATTTATTATTTCGTTAATCTGTTGAACTTTTTCGGTTGGTATTTTAAACCAGTAGTTGTATACAGATGTTATCTTTGTAAATTCAGATTTTTCATTACATTGTAAAATGTATTTAAACGGCTCCAAAAGTTTCTACATAATAAAAATCATGACTTCTTAGTTTTTCTTGCTAGTAACAATATAAGCAATAATAAAACGAGGAGTTAAAATTTATAAACTCGAGCTATGTTGAATGATTCAATAACTAATGCGGGCTGTTAAAGTCAAACATAGATCACATATTATGTAAATATTTTATACATATTTTATATACATTAAGGAAAAAGCTATATTCAAAACATCACTAAAATATAGAATAAATATTTTATACAATATTTATGATAAATGAACAAAGAACCAATTAAAATTCATGAACTAGCTATGGAATTGAAATAGAAAAAGAGAAAATGGTATAATACCGACCTTGTCCTCCTCCGTATCACCGCTTGAAGAATGATAAAAGGGTGCAATCTCTTTCATATTCGTCATGTTGAATTAAACAGTGATATCTTCGTTCTACTG